TTGGAAAGATGCAGTCAAAGAAGATATAGAGAAAATGGGAGTGCGACAATGGGAATTACTGACACAGGACCGACAAACATGGAAGGCAATAGTAAACGCGGCAAAGACTCACGAAGACTTGTACCGCCATTGATGATGATGATGACAACGTGCAACCTATTAGTACGGTCAAGCGCTGGTCATCAGTAACGAAACAGAAAGTAGATGTGCAACAGCAACACATTTTCAGTATGTATAATAAATGTCACCAAAGCTGTTCATTACCGTTCTTGAGTATGCATTTAAAAGACTAACATGGCAACAGAAAGGAATATCCATCGATGGAGAAAGATTAAACCATCTACGCTTTGCGGACGATATCGTGCTTCTGTCAGATAATGTGGGAGAGGTCAAAGACATGCTCCAAGAACTGAATAACATACTACAAGAAACTGGGCTGGAGATAAATTTCGAGAAAACCAAAATGATGACCAATATGGTTCCCAGCGAAGAAATACAGATCAATAACAACAAGGTAGAATTAATCGATAAATACACATACTTGGGTCATGAAATTAGAATAACCAGAGACAACGAAACCTGCGAGCTAAATAGACGAATCACGTTAGGATGGGCGGCATATGGAAAGATGAAAGACATTTTTAAAACAAATATCCCAATTCACCTGAAAAGGAAGGCATTTAATCAATGCATCTTACCAGTCTTGACCTACGAAGCAGAGACCCTAACTTTAACGAAAGCTACTGCCGAAAAACTGAGGGTAACACAATGGCGAATGGAGAGATCAATGCTGGGCCTGACCTTGAAATATCGCGTGAGAAATGAGGCAAATGAGATACGCCGGCAAACTGGCGTAGACGATATTATACTGCGAATCAATAAACACAAGTGGAGGTGGGCTGGACATGTTGCTAGAATGGAAGACGGAAGATGGACGAAGAGATTATTGGAGTGGAGACCAAGAGCCGACAAGCGAAGTCGAGGCAGACCACCCACACGATGGACCAACGACCTAAGGAGAATAGAAACGAACTGGATTGCAGCAGCTAGAGATAGAGAAAACTGGAGACTTTTGGAGGAGGCCTATAAACACCAATGGATGTGAAAATGGGGCTGGATGATGATGATAATAAATACATGGGTGGAGTTGATTTACACGGCCGTAAGCAACTATAGGATTTCTGTTAGAGGTAAAAAATGATGGCGAGTGCTGTTTACAAACATGATCAACATGACTGTTGTCAATGCCTGGATATTGTTTCAATTGACAAATGATAATCCAATTTTATTGTTAGAGTTTGATCGAATTATATATAGTGCGCTCTTATTTAGCTTGCAATGAAAAATCTACAAAACCGAAACACCAACTGTACGACGTCATGAGGGAGGCAATTTTCAAAAAAAAAAAAAATAGATTAACAACGACGGTGTACCCAGTGTAACAAAAAAACTAGGTGAAGTTGCTCAAAATGCACAGTGACCCTTTGCATTGAACGGGACTGCTTCGGAGTTTATTATTCCTAAGATGTTTATTGAAAAAAATCTCTCTTATTTAATATTGTCCTGAAACTATTTTCTTGCGGCATTTTAAAGTAATTACTATTTAAATGGGAATAAGCCACAATTAAAGGTTAAAATTAGTTTGTTGACGTTTTAATTTCCACTTCGGAAATCGTTCATAAAATACAAACATTGATACAAATAAAATGTTTGGAAGTGAAGTGGACGATTTCCGAAGTGGAAATTAAAACTTCAATAAACTAACTTTAGCCTTTAATTGTGACTTATTCCCATTTAAATAGTAATTTCTATGTTATTTAGTTTGCTGCAGGTACTGATTGATTTTTGTTTAGTTTTAACCATTACTATATTTTACTTTGTACTTAAAAATAATAAATAACAAGTAATCTAAACTTTATTTTTTAACACTTTCCCATTGTCCCCATATGGGAACACATATACAGTGTGGAAACCACTTATGGAATAAAATTGTTTGTGTCCTTATTATAGAAAATAATCAAAAACTCTGGGACACGTTAACTTTTAAATTTAAATGTGCGCTTTTTAAACATAAGTTTAAATGTACAGGGTGATCCACGCACGTCTGGCATAGTCCATAATCCTTATTTTTAATGAAACACCCTGTATATTTTTATGTTTTTAAAATACTTTTAACAACCTGATTTCAATGAACTATATCATGTAGGGTCTATAATGAATAATACAAGGTAAAATTTTGAAATTAATAATTTATCACGAGTTATGATATTATTTTAAATTAGCTAAATACAGACAATAGACTTCTACTCTGTCAGTACACTGTATATTGCGGAAAAGTTGACATGCTGTTGACATTTTACATTAAAATAATAAATTCTTAATTAAAAACTAATTTCTTGCAGAAATAAAAATAACTAAGGCCCACCGAATTGAGATTTTAATGATGATCGATTACGGGAAGAATTGTAGAAGTCAAGTTGAAGTAGTAAACTTATTTAATCAGAGGTATCCTCAGTTGCCTAATATTTCACAAGGTACTGTATCTAAAATTTATGCACAATTCAGAGAACTTAGATATGCCAAACCATTAAAAAGAAAATCGAACTTCATTGAAGATGAAGTGAAAGTGGATATTTTGTTAAGTGTCGCAGAGAATCCAACGTCAAATTGCACGTCAAAATAATGTGAGTCACACAACTGTCCTAGGGTGTCTCCATGAAGATAACTTCATCCATATAAATTGACATTTGTGCAGGAGCTAACAGAAGACGATCCGGATCGTAGAATGGATTTCTACAAAAGAATGATGGATAAAATTAACAAATGAAATAGCTCTTGACACAATTCTTTTTTCTGATGAATCGAAATTTAGATTGAACGGAGAGGTAAACTGACAAAACTGTAGATATTGGTCAGCGGAGAATCCTCATTGGATACGTGAGACACACACTCAGTTTCCTCAAAAGTCGAATGTTTGGGCAGGTATTATAGGAGATATATTATTGGTCCTATATTTATAGATGATAATTTGACAGCGGAAAAATATTTAAGCATGCTAAGAGACGATGTTCTTGCTTAGTTGGCTAACTTACATCCCAATCCAATAGATCCGACCCTACTGCATGAAACTGTCTGGTTCCAGCAGGACGGTGCAACACCCCATTATGCTTTAATGGTGAGAAATTACTTGAATGAAATCTTCTTCAATAAGTGGATTTGATGAAGAGGACTAGTGAGCGGCCAGCTAGGTCGCCAGATCTTACGCCTTTGGATTTTTTTGTGGGGTTATCTCAAGAACAAAGTATATACAACACAATCAACTATCATTGAAAACCTCAAAAAGTAAGGATAACTACAGAAATACGGAATATTTCACCTCAAACTTTAAACAAAGTTCGGAACGAGTTTTATAGGAGACTGTGTTATTGCCAACAACAAGGTGGAGAACATGTTGAGCATTTATTTTAATGTAATCCAATCAATTACCTCGGGTATTCTATGAATTCATTGTCTTGAAGAAAATACCTAATTTCAAAATTTCGCCTTCTATTATTCATAATAGACCCTACATGATATAGTTCGTTGAAATCGGGTTGTTAAGGAGCTTTTAAAAACATGAAAATATACAGGGTGTTTAATTTAAAATACAGATTATGCACTATGCCAGACTTGCATTGATCACCCTGTACATTCAAATTTATGTCTAAAAAGCGTAAATTTAAATTTAAAAGTTACGGTATCTCAACGTTTTTTATTATTTTTTTAAAATAAGGACACAAACAATTTTATTCCATAAGTGGTTTCCACACTATATATATGTTGTATACCTTAAGTTATTCAGTATGACTTACATTTAATTTTTTTCTTATAATAAAACCCCAATAAGATCCAGTAAAAAATAAATGAATGAAAAAAAATGTCTTGTTTAATGGGTTATGGCCCAGTTGTTGGGACCAACATTTTCTAATTACATAATTTTAGCAGTACCTTTACTATAATCAAATAGAACAGCGTGACTTATTTCATTAAAAATATTGCAAATTAAAGTAACGTTTCTGTCTTTCAACGTTTGGTGGATCAACAGTTTTGTAATTTAAATTGGGAGTTTATAAAAATAAAGTTGATAATAATGTTTCTAAACTGATTTTGGTCTTTTTGGCTTCAGAGTAACAGATTAAATATTTTCAATTTGTGACTTAAAACTTGGTTTTAACTTAATTCATCTTTTAATAACAATGTATGGTTAATACCTACTTGAATTTCCAGTTTTCCATTTCTTTACAACTCGGGGTGACTCTTCGCCGCATTCACTATAGCCCTCCATCTTCTACAATCTTGCGCTTCCATTTCCCATTGTTGTCCTCCAATCCTAGATAAATCAGCTTTAACATCATCCTTCCATTTTTTTTTGGGACGATCTACTGATCTTTCTGGCTCGCCACACTCAAATTTCACGATATAAAAATAAATGTGATTTTCTTCTTGATGCCACTTCCATTTGACCATATAAGAACTTAACTTACACTTAAAATTTTCACTGAAACTACAAAAATCCACTATCACATCACTTTGAAGCCGTTCATCTTGCTGTTACTGCCTATTTATAATTAATCCTCTCCTTTTCATGGGACTGTTTCTTTTAGCACCATCTTTTTGCTTTGTCAAATATTTTGGAAGTATGTAGTGGAAATATTTTTGTAACAATTTCTCTAATGGTAGGTCTTTTTATTGGAAAAGTTTTTAATAAATTATCAGAAGAATGCATATATAAACACAAAGAGATATTTTCAAAAGCCTTCTATTCACTGTTGCCAATTTGAATGTTATAAACTGATGTTTACAACGGCGAAGTTATAATGTTTACGATATAAATCCGGAGTTTTTTTGTTAATTCGTATTGGTTTTAGTATTTTCTCTTACTATTTATATGCATACGTGATATTTTTAAACGATACTCTTGGTTTTAGAATATTTCGTTATAAATTTATATTTTGTTACAGATCCCCAGGTAGTACCATCACTTGCGGAACTTTCGGCGAGATGTGTGGCGTCTCACATTCCTTTCGAACTCGTAGAACATGTCTATCCACCGGTACCGGAACAACTTCAACTTCGCATTGCCTTTTGGAGTTTTCCCGATAACGAAGAAGATATTAGATTGTATTCTTGTTTGGCAAATGGATCGGCAGACGAGTTTTCCAGAGGTGAAACCCTGCACAAGACGCACATGGTTAAAGATCCTCTACAAATAGGTGAGTTAATTAATCAAATATTAAATCTTGGACAAAATTAGCCCCCAAAATTAACAATAATAGTATGTTCTAGCAACCGTATAGAAGTTTATAGTTTTTCTCCATTATCTTTGTCATTACCTAATTTTGTCTTATCTTCAGCTAAGTACGTTCCCTTTCAAATTTTCATATGCTGTTTTGTTAATAATACTGATCTTCTTAGGGTATTATCTTCGTTGGAGGTTGGCAACAATCTCAGCGAAGTAATGTCTATCTAACAGATTTCTAGAAATAAATTTTAAACTTACAATTTATTTTATTTAGCTTAGGACGACCGGTTTCGACCACTACAATTTTCTGGTTATCTTCAGGTCTCCCGACAAGTTTAATTAAAATGCTGAAGCAATTACATATCGTAACTAAAAGAGTTCTATCAGGTTTGTTGCAAAAAATGCCAATATTAATTATGTATGTAATAAATAGTACTTACATGCCTGTGCAAGGATTGTTGTTAAAAAGATAAGTAAAGTAAATAAGCGTTTTCACTTAATTTTTGTTTAGAAAACCACTTCAGATATTATTCACATCTTAAACATTTCCAATTAATGAGCCATAATACATCACAGTCATTTAGCAAAATGTTTTTTCAATAAATAAATAAATAAATAACACATTTCATAAATATACCTCCAAAATAAATATAATTAACTTTATAAATTTAACATCAATTATAGTTTCGCAAATAATAACATAAATTAACTTTCTCTTAATAACAACATTAAGGAATTTCCAGACTGTCTTCTCAAGACACGTCCCTATTTCTATATGTAATATGTTGAAGACATATAGAGAACGCTATAGCATAAATGAATAGAAGGTTAATGATAAAATGAATATAAATGATCCTGTATACACCTTTTTAACAACAATCTTTGCATATGCATGTAAGTACTATTTATATACTTCTTCAAATCATACATAAGTAATATTGACACTTTTTACAACAAACCTGATAGAACTCTTTTAGTTACGATATTATGTAATTGTTTCAGCATTTTAATTTAACTTGTCTGGAGACCTGAAGATGACCAGGATGTCCCAGCTTGTTCTTCATCTTCCATATGTTTGTATTCGTTTTGTATTCTTTATTTTGTCAGTTTTACATTATAATCTTAAATCGAGTTTTGTCTTTATATAGTTCTTTTAACATATCATGCTGTGCACTTTACCTTGAGCTTTCTTTGACAACGTGTTGTCAGTATCGTCGTTTGTACTCAAAAATTTTTGTTATTTTCCTCTTTTGTTTTAAATTTCTCTCTATTTCGTTGTCCCATCAATACGGGAGTTTCCTTGACTTCTTTATTTCGTATTCTAAGGCTTTCGTTGCTTCTTGAATGCTTTTTGTAATGGTGGTAATGTTCGTCATTATTAGAAAATTGTTTGAGATTAAATTTCTGGTCTAACCTATTCTTGTATAATTCCCTTTCAGTTTCTGGTTTTAGGCTGTTTAAGTTATATCTTTGCTCTGCTAATTTTTCCATTTCCTCTTCGTGCTTTACTTTCTGTTGCTTACCTTCTGCGAATGTGATTTTGGTCGTTAGTAGGTGGTGGCTATTCTTACAAATGACCCCTCTGTATCTATACAGCGTGTCCCAAATTGGTATGTTTTGCAGGGTATACCGAAAACTAGAGGAAATTAGTCAACATGTCATGACCTTTTTTCCGTTAATGATTGGTGAATCAAATTATCAATAGCTCTCCTTAGCGAGATAAAGAGCGATTATTGAAAAATGTCGAAAACGACGGGGTTGTATATCTTTTTTATTACGACAAATTTTAAAAAGCTTCATTGCGACTTCTGATAGATATATTATCGAAGGGTTTAGTGGCCCACAATTTTTTTAGGGGGCTCACTAAGGAGATATAATACCAACTGTTTTTTTTTATATGGGACACGCTAGATATATATTTTAATATTATTTATTTTTTGTTTACATTTTTAATTTTTTTTTTCACCTTATATGGTATATACAGAGTGGCCCAAAAGTCTGGAAACGGCTAATTATCTCGTAAATTACTAGACATAATCATACAAAATTTGAGATACGCCTATTTTGGGATACGGAGATTCCAATGTTGCCAGATTTTCAGTTTCTCTTATATTACTAGTAACTTTGGTTTTTCAAATACATCACCCTGTATATTCAGTCATTATTGGAATCTTCTGTAATGGAGATATGATTTTATGTAGTCTGGAAGGTCTTAAATACATAAAACAGAAGTCTGGCAACGCCTAAATTGCTTCAATACATTTTTTAATACTAACTATTTTTAAATACATTAAAACGTAACAGTTGATAGTTTAGAATATTTTTTAACATAATAGTTACGTTATTAAGTGTTCAAAATGTGCTCCATTTCTGAGTTGACAGCACTCTAATCAATGGTAGAATACGTCTACCACATTTTTCCATTATTGTCTAGAAATTATTCGAGATTCATCGATAATTTATTGCCTTAGCTATGCAAGACTTGCTGGTTAAGTTTTGTAAACTGAATTTTTCAAGTATCTCTAATAAAAATAATCTTTAGGATTGAGATCGGGTGATCGTGGAGGCCATTCAATTCTACCTTGTCTACCAATTTATCGTCCGGGAAATATCTCATCTAAATAACGCCGAACATTTACACCAACTATCTGACGTTTAATTTCTTTCGATAAAAAATGGCCCAATTAAATAAGTACCTACTATAACTGACCATACATTTAATTTTTGTGGTCTTTGAGTATGGTTTTCACGCATTCAATGTGAATTTCACACGAGTTCAGCTATTCAATACGAGTTCAACCATATGTTCACTTGATTTTATATAGTCTGAAAGATCTTAAATACATAAAACAGTGCAAAATATGTAGATTTTAATAAATTTAAATATTTAAATCGAGAATGCTGTGATTTTGACATTTGTTCACCATTTAAATTATGAACTAAAATTGACAGTAGTTGTGGTTCAAAAAGTTCTGCAATTTAAATTGCTTCTCTTAAATGCCGTTCTCTAAACCGTTCTCCTATACATAAGACGACGGTACAAAAAACTGTAAGGCGATTTAAGGAATCTGGAGAAGTAAAAGATAGATACCGATTAGGTTGACTGAAACGAGTTATCAATGACAACAAAACTTCAGATATAAGCAAAGTTTTGTTGAAGATCCACATACATCTCCAGGCAGGGTTGCACAAGTACATGATGTAGGTCATTCTTCAGTCTTACGTTTATTACGTAAAAATAAATTTAAATCATACAAAATTAACTTATTGCAAGAATTAAGTAAAGATGACTTTGGTCGTAGATTAGAGTTTACTGAGGTAATGATGGATAAAACTGAAAATTATTAAAATTTCGATAACAGAATATGTTTTTCCGATGAAGCAACTTTTACACTTTGTGGAATTGTAAATCGACACAATTTAAGGTACTGGTGTGACGTAAATTCACACGGAAGACTGAATGCGTGAAAACCATACTCACAGACCACAAAAATTAAATGTATGGTCAGATATAGTAGTTACTTATTCAATTGGGTCATTTTTTGTCGAAAGAAATTTAACGTCAGATAGTTGGTGTAAATGTTCGGCGATGTTTAGATGAGATATTTCCTGGACGATAAATTGGTAGACAAGGTAGAATTGAATGACCTCCACGTTCACCCGATTTTAATCCTAAAGATTATTTTTATTAGGGATACTTGAAAAATTCAGTTTACAAAACTTACCAGCAAGTCTTGCAGAGCTAAGGCAACGAATTATTAATGAATCTCGAATAATTTCTAGATAATCATGGAGAAATGTGGTAGACGCCTTCTACCATCGATTAGGGTGCTATCAACTCACAAATTGAGCACATTTTGAACACTTAATAACGTAACTACTATGTTAAAAAATGTAATGTAATTTTAATGTATTTGAAAATAGTTAGTATTGAAAAATTTATTGAAACAATTTAGGCGTTGCCAGACTTCGGTTTTATGTATTTATGACCTTCCAGATTACATAAAATGTTACATATGGTTGAACTCGTATTGAATAGGAGATTCCAATAATGACTGAATATACAGGGTGATGTATTTGAAAAACCAAAGTTACTAATAATATAAGAAAAACGGCAAATCTGGCAACATTGTAAATATTAAATATGGAATCTCCGTATCCCAAAATAGGTGTACTACTTCAAATTTTGTACAATTATGATTAGCATTTTACGAGATAATTAGCCGTTTCCAGACTTTTGGGCCACTCTGTATATATATATATATATATATATATATATATATATATATATATATATATATATATATATATAAGCCTTCCCGAGCACGGGAAGTTTAACGAATTTGTCTCCTAGGCCATATAGTTGGCCATTTAATATATAAAGCGATAGCGGCTTTCGCTAAAAGATTTAATTCTTTACACATTTCGCATAGCATAAAGGATACAGAAAACGATTATTCATATCGTTTCGTTCACGGCCTCCAAAGTAGGGGGCGCCTTTATAAGCTAACTACACGGTAGTAAAGATTTGGGAGACATTCGTTTTACTTTCCGAGTTTGAATTTGTATCAGCCCAAGTGTCTGACGATGGCTGGGATAGGCCGAAATGATCATAACACTTTAGTGATACCAATTCGAGCACGGGAAGTTTAACGAATTTGTCTCCTAGGCCATATAGTTGGCCATTTAATATATATATATATATATATATTATATATATATATATATATATATATATATATATATATATATATATATATATATAAATATATATATAAATATATATTGTAGTTTTGAGTTTCTTGAACCGTATTATATTTAATATAAAATTAATATTTCTTATATATTATATATATATATATATATATATATATATATATATATATATAAATATATATATATATATATATATATATATATATATATATATATATATATATATATATATATAATATATATATTTACCCCCTT